TTTCATTGCATTTCAATCCAGCCTGTCTTTCAAAGATCTGCACAGCCTCAATCCACTGCAAAAAATAAAAGACTTTGAGGCAGCAAAAGACAGAAGCCCCTTTAGGCGGAGAGCAATCGTCCTGTCAATCAATTTTGTAATTATGTCAATTACAAAATTGTAATTGTTTTGTTTTCCTGCCCAGACAATTACAATATTAGGTTTAGTTTAGTTTAGTTTAGTTTAGTTTAGTTTAGTTTAGTTTAGTTTAGTTTAGTTTAGTTTAGTTTAGCTTAGCTTAGCTTAGCTTAGTTTAGTTTATAGCTTAGTTTAGCTTACTTCAGTTCAATTCAGTTCAACGTAGTTTAGTTTCCAGTTTAATTTTAATTTTATTTCAGTTTTAGGTTAGGTTGGGTTTGCTTCAGGTTTAGTACAGTTTGGTTTATATTTAGTTCAGGTTTAGTTCAATTTACTTCAGTTTAGATTCGGTTAGATTAGTTTTAGTTCAGTTTAATTTAGTTTAGTTCAGTTTGGAATTTGCAGATTGGTCCGAAGAGTCCCAATTATTTATTTATGTACAGGTGCAAAGTATAATCTGAGCACAGCTGGAAAAACCCACTTTTTGGGAGGGTCCAGCCAGTGCCCCACTGCGCATTTTAAACTAGTTTTATCTCCCTAATTTTTCTGTTTCCCCCCCCCTTTCTCCCAGTTCTCCAGCTGCAGGCATCCCTGGGAGAAAAAAGACTTGCTGAGGTTCCAGCTCGGATATCATCATATACTGTAAGTTGGAATCAGACACTACAGTATAGATGATGTACTATCTGGGGCTCCTGGATCCATCCCTTCAAGATTTCCACTCAAGAAGCATCTCCACCACCTTGGCTGCAAAAGATGATTTTTTTTATTATTATTATTCGAGGGAAGCGTTTTCATGGGAGAGAGCCAGCAGGAAAAGGGCAAGCATAAAGCAGAGAGCCTGACTCCTTAATATGGACTAGAAGGTTGGGGATTTCCTAGCTTTAATTCCCCCCTCCCCCCCATCAGACGCTTTTGCCTGTAGAGAGGATGTTTTCCATCATTTGAAATGTAAGGGACCGGAGAGGACTCCTGAGTCTGTATTTATTTTTATTTTATTTTATTTTATTTTATTTTATTTTATTTTATTTTATTTTATTTTATTTTATTATTTTATTTTATTTTATTTATTTTATTTTATTTTATTTTATTATTATTTTATTTTATTTTATTTTATTTTATTTTATTTTATTTTATTTTATTTTATTATTTATTTTATTTTATTAAATTTATATTGCCGCCTATTTGCCCATGGCGACTCAAGGCAACTTACAGAATATAAAAACCACATTTTGTAAGGCAGGAATGGGCAGCTATGGACCCTCTGATGTCATGTGACTTCAACTCCCAGAATTCCTGAGCCAGCCATATTGGCTGGCTGAGGAATTCTGGGAGTTGAAGTCCACAGGTCATCAAAGGGGCCACAGTTTCTCAACTCTTGAGTTATTATGGTTGGTAACACAGACGGCTAGATGTTTACCCTGGATTGATGGCAGTTGGGAAGTATGAAATCTAAATAAATAAAATACGTTTGCCAATTTTATGCTCCTCAAGGACCTGGAATAGACAGAAGTTGTTTAATAATAGCCCACATACCATTGCAAGATGTAAGTTAATTATTATGATTGGCCAGATGTTTAGCCTGGATTTGCCAATTTTATCCACCTATCCAGTCCTTCCCAAGGACCTGGGGTTAGGCTGGTGTTGTATGATCGTTTAAATGCAGCCCATCTTGCTAGCAGAATAACAACAGGGAAGGGATCTTGGAGGTCCTCTAGTCCAGCCCCCTGCTGTCCCCAGGCTTATACCCGCAGGAAAGCGTTAAGCATTTTTGAGTGATGTAAATCAGGCTCACTTTATCAAGGGGAACAGCTACGGTTCATGCCTGGAGTGGGGTGACCCCAAGAAAGCGGGGGTGCAGACGAGGGGAGGGGGCTGCGCTCAGATCTGCAACACAACTGCCCTGCAAACCTCGTGGAAGGCCGACCTCGTGGCGTGTCAGCGAAACCGTTACCATTACTGAGTTTAGTAATGGTAAGGGTTCTTCTGCCTGCCAGATAATCTCCTTCCAGCAGAAAACAAGAAGACGCCACTGGCCTCAGAAGGACACTGTAGCCCATCTTCCTGTGTGAAAATAAAGCATGGCCTCAAGGGCTCTCGTGTCTGCTGCCTCTTATTCTTATGGGGTGTGGGAAAACGGTCAGCCCACGCAGGGTCTTTGAGGTTGGTCAAAAGTCCAGCTGGGACTGTCCATCTCAACCCTGCCTTGGTGGGATGGGATGGGACTGGACTGGGTGGGCAAATAGGGACCCCCACCCACCGAGGATGAGGGTACTTTCCATTAATCTGCATAAAGGTAAAGGTTCCCCTGGCACATATGGGCTAGTCGTTCCCAACTCTAGGGGGCGGTGCTCATCTCCGTTTCAAAGCCGAAGAGCCAACACTGTCCAAAGATGTCTCTGTGGTCATGTGGCCAGCATGACTCAATGCCAAAGGCGCACGGAACACTGTTCCCTTCCCACCAAAGGTGGTCCCTATTTTTCTACTTGCATTTTTTACGTGCTTTCGAACAGCTAGGTTGGCAGAAGTTGGGAGACATAACGGGAGCTCACCCCGTTACGTGGCACTAGGGATTCGAACCGCTGAACTGCCAAACTCTCGATCAACAAGCTCAGTGTCTTAGCCACTGAGCCATCGCGTCCCTATATTAATCTGCCTACGGACACTTAATTTATCATTTTTAAGACGGAGCCCAAAGAAGAATTCCAATGGAGACGCCAAAACTTTAATTAATAAAGATTTTAAAAGCTTAATTGGGATTTTATCAAGGGGAGGGGAGGAGGATTGGGGTTCTAACTCAACCTCCTCTGCTGGTTGGGAAGATTTGGGGGTCTCCTGCCAGGCAGGCTGTCCTGAGAAGGCAGGAGGGACCACCCCACAGGGAGGCCCAAGTGGGTTTCTTTGGGGCACTTCGCCTGTGTTTATAATGGGAGGAGGGGGCAACTGTATGCCACTTGGCTTGGCAGGGGGTACCAGGGCACTCGGTTCTCTCCTCTATAAGCGTCCCAAACGCCCCGTGTTCCTTCTGTTGGGTGGGGGCTGATGGCAGACCCCAGACCCCTAGAGAGAGAGAGAGGGCAAGGGCTGCCGCGCCTTCGCAAAAAGCACTCTGTGTATGCTCAGAGTGTCATTTACAAGAAAAGTGATCATTTAAAACAGAGATCTTCAAACTTGGCAGCTTTAAGACTTGTGGACTTCAACTCCCAGAATTCAATATCCCAGCTGCTGGCTGGAGAATTCTGGGAGTTGAAGTCCACAAGTCTTAAAGTTGCAAGTTTGCAGACCTCTGATTTGAAAGAATGTGGGCAGCCAGGTCACCCAAATCAGTCCGAACTGGCTAAATACCACCTGTGGTATGGATACTCACTCTCCACCCCACCTGCTCAGCTGCACCAGGACCTCAAACCCATGTGGTCCTCCTGTCCATCAATAAACCCTCTTTCCAAACAGCCTCCATTATTTCCAGGTTTTTTCTCCCGGCTTGGAACTCAACCAGAGGGATTTTCCTTCCAACAAGGATAATAACCATCATTTCTAGGAAAAGGGGAGTTGCTATTGTTTCTCAAAAGGAGAGGCTTGATACCTTAAATCAGTGTTTCTCTCAACCTTGGAAGCTTGAAGATGGGTGGACTTCAACTCCCAGAATCCCCCAGCCAGCAAAGGTTGAGAAACACTGCCTTAAATGGAACCGCTATAAACTGTTTTGATGCTTTGCAGGAGCTGACAACTAAAAGCCAGGGAAACCACAAGAGGAGCCAGCCTGAATGCCAGCTGAAACCGCAAGCCGAGGAAGTAGGAAAATAACCACGGAGCCCATGCTAGCAAAAATTAGGCCGTGGTTTATGGGTGCAGGAGAAGCATGAACCATATCAGGTAGATGTGTTTTGAATAGGATGCTGTGCTGAACAAGGGAGGGGGGAGTGAACCTGTGCAGGGGGGAGTAAAAAGCGGGTGGATGCTTCCTTCTGGCTCCACCTTTTGTGCACCCCTCTTTGCAAATACGTGAATAAAAATTCTTTGCTGCTTTCAAGCCACTGTCTCGGGTAGTTCCGTCTGCGAACTCGTACGGCTTCTAACAAGAGGAACTGGAGGGCAGAGGTCGGGGGTGGGGGCTCCAGAGAATGATTAAGCCCTTGAAATGCTTGCATTAAGAAAATAGTCAGGGCAGAAAAGGGACCCTGTGGAGATCAAACAGGGTGGGACTCCAAAGGTACTTTGTGCATGCTCAGAGGAACTGGAGAGCAAAGGAGGCCACTCAAGCCCTTGAAGCACTCGAACTAAGGGAAGAAAACAGACCCGGGCTTGCTCCATAGAGATCAAAGAGTCTGGAACGGAAAGGCACTCTGCACATGCTCAGAGGAACTCAAGGGCAGCGGAGTGGGGGGGGGGAAGGAGGGTGCCGCAGAGTCCGCTGAAGCCTTTGAAGAATTTGCAATAAGCAAACAAAATAGATCCTCCCAGCTCCATAGAGACCAAAGGGCCGGGAGGCAAAGGCACTCTGCACATGCTCAGAGGAAGTCAAGGGCAGTGGAGAGGGGGTTGCTGCAGAGAGAATTTGAAGAATTGGGCCCACGGAGATCAAGCAAGTCTGGAATGCACTCTGCGTATGCTCAGAGGAACTTTGTCTCAGGTCTTCTTCTTTTTTTTTTCCCCGTCACGTGACACAGACCAAGCGCACGCGCTCCCAACTCAAGCAGGCGTTCTGCGCATGCTCGGTGCGGGGCTGTGAAATGGAAGCGCACAAAAGAAGAAAGCGGCGGCCACGCCTCCTCAGAGGCCACGCCTACGACGCCTCTGCGCGGGCCCCTCCCGCCGCGTCGCTCTACCCGCCGCTCGTCTCTGTGGTCGCCTCCCTCGCCTCCCATAAGGCCTTTCGCGCCGAGAGAGCCAAGATGGCGGCGCAGGCGAGCGCGGGAGCTTCGTGAGGCGCTGGGAGCACCATGGCGGCGGCGGCGGCGGCGCTGGCGCTGGGCTGGCGGGCCTTGGGCCTGGCCGCGCGTCGGGCCCGGCTCCTCCCGGCCGCCTCCCCTCGCCTGGAGCCGGCCTCGGGCCGCGCACTGAGCCTGCGGAACTCGCGGCCACCAGGTGTGAAGAGGAAGCAGGAGGCAGCCCGTGCTTGCGAACGCCCGGACCCTCCGGAGCCCCCCATGGCCGCCCAGGCTCGCCCGCAGAGCCGCCACTCCGCCCTGGATCACCTGGCCGGGATCGCCCCGGGAGAAGCGGATCCGCCTCTGGGGGGCTCGGCCGCCCCGCCCGCCTGCGCCTTTCACGGTGGGCCTCGACCCTGGAGGGGGGGCGATGGGGGGGGTCCAGGGGGGTCTCTTCCCCTCTTGGCCCCCGAAAGAGTTTCTGTTGCTAAGCGGGTCTTCCCAGCCCGTCCTTCTCCGGGCAGTCCTCGACTTACACCCGTTCGTTTAGAGACCGCTGGAGGAAAACCTTTTTTTCAAATTTAGGAAAGAAAGATTACAGGCAGTCCTCGACTTACAGCCGTTTGTTTAGTGACCGTTCAGCGTCAACCACTGCACTGAAAAAAGTTGACTCAGGACCGTGTTTCACACTTACGACCGTTGTGGCCTCCCTGTGGGTCACGTGATTTATATCCAGATGCTTGGCAACGGACTCGTAATTGTGACGGTCGCAGCGTCCCCATGATCACGTGATCAAAACTCAGCCGCTTGCTAATTGGTTCATATTTATGACGGTCACACCGTCCCTGGGGTCACGTGATCCCCTTTGGCGGCCTTCTGACAAGCCAAGCCAAATTCACTTGACTTAACTGTGGCAAGAAAGGTCGTAAAAAGTGAGGCAAAACTCACTTAACACCTGTCCCGCTTAGCAACAGAAACTCTTGTACTCCATTGTGGTCGTACGTCGAGGGCTACTTGCAGTTCTGATACTCCCGATGGCTTCAAGGGGTTGGTGGGAAATGCAGGTTGCTTTGTGAATGACAGAACGAACCCCACCTGGGAAGCCACCCTGTGGGGGAGCTGTAAGAAGAAGTGTGCACTTATTTGTTGCATTTGTGTAAGAAATGATGTTAATTTGATTTGATTAGAAGCGACATGGTAGATTAGAACAAAAAAATCCCTGCCCTTTTGGTATAAAATGGTTTGTCGTGAATGCGACTGCTTGAGGGCTCCTGGATTGGAGCTGAAAGGCGAAAGGGATGCAGTATGCTCCCTCCCACATGCTGGGGTAGACCAGGTGGCGCTTGGCCTTATTGCCATGCGCACAAAAGCCCAATTGGGCTTGTTATCTGGGGATGTCTTATTTAGTGGTACATACATGAGTCCACTAGGAGAAGGGCAGTATACAAATTGAAATTGAAATTGAAATACCATACGTACATATATAGTGTGTGTAATTAATATACCTGGGTATGTCTAGTCTCACAAAGAGAAGGAATAGAGAGAGGACATGATAGCGGTATTCCAATATTTGAGGGACTGCCACAAAGAAGAAAGGGCCAATCTATTCTCCAAGGCACCTGAAGGCAGGACAAGAAGCAACGGATGGAAACTAACTAAGGAGAGATTCAGCCTGGAATTAAAGAGAAATTTCCTGACAGGGAGAACAATTAACCAGTGGAACAGACGTTGCCCCCAGAAGTTGTGGGTGCTTCATCACTGGAGGTTTTCAAAAAGAGACTGGACAGCCAGCCTTGTCTGGAATGGAGGAAGATGAGAATATCCAACCTTGGGAACTTTAAGACTTGTGGACTTCAACTCCCAGAATTCCTCAGCTAGCATGGTATAGGGTCTTCTGCTTGAACAGGAGGTCTTCAAGGTCCCTTGCAACTGTTATTCTGTACTCTTGTTTGTGTGTGTGCGTGAGCGTGTCTATATATACACACACACACAGTTATTATAAAATTATGTTGTAAACCACCCAGAGTCATCTAGGTCACTTAGGAAATTGAATAAGTAAATAAACAGCCAGTTTGGTCTAATGGTGAAGGCACCAGATTAGAAACCAGGAGACAATGAGCTCTAGTTCTGCCTTACGAATAAAAGCCGCCTGGCTGAATTTGGGCCAATCGCCAGGAGGTGGTGAGTTCTAGTCCTGCCTTAGGCATGAAAGCCAAATGGGTGAATTTGGGCCAGTCTCCCTCTCAACCCAACCCACCTCACAGGGTGGTTATGGGGAAAATAGGAGAAGAAAGATGTGTTGAATATGCTTGCTACCTTGATACATTTGTAACCAAAATAAAGGTAGGATATAAATAAATAAACACATCCTTCCCGTGCATTCTGCGGGGGTTGGGGTGCAGGAGAAATGCATAATATTTAGAGCGTGGAAATGCCTCCCGAGCTTTGAACGCCACTTGCCGGAATCCCTCTTGGTGACCCACTGAACCTGTACATTGTTCCTGCAGGTGATCATAAATACTTGATGTCCCACCGCCCAGATCAGCCGAAGAACCCCAAAGTCTTGAGAGTGGCCATTATCGGGGCTCCCAACGCTGGCAAGTCCACCCTGTCGAACCAGCTACTCGGACGGAAGGTAAAGGCACGGGGCTTGAATTGTTGTCAGCACGTCAACACTTGCTTAGTGGCCATTGGAAGTTACGACGACACTGAAAAAAGTGATTGACAATCATTCCTCTCACTGAACAACCGTTGCGGCATCTCCACGGTCACTGGTGAACTTCCCAGCTAACTTCTGACGAGCAAAATCAGCTGGGGAAGCCCGATTCGCTTAGTGAGGGTGTGATTCACTTAACAACCCTGGCAAGAATGGTGGTAAAATTGCATGCGACTCACTTAGCCCACCTTGCCTAACGATGGAAATTCTGCTCCCAATTCTGAGGACTAAAGTATAAATGCTACTCTTCAGGCCTTACGATATAAAACATTCTGAGTTGGGTGTTTTTTTTGGCAGATCCTGCCCGTCTCCAGGAAGGTGCACACAACAAGATGCAACGCTCAAGGCGTCATCACAGCTGAGGATACCCAACTGGTGAGTAGTCATAACAGTGAGTATGAACTGTTTTTCTTTCAATATTCAAAGAAAAACCTTGACTATGGGCATGCTGCATCAGTCATAACTGAAAAACGGGCATAAGACATTATTTCAGTGCCATGGTAACTTTAAATGGTCACTAAGAATGGGTTTAAATCAGGGACTACCTGTAGTTGAAGCGACCGACTTAAGTCGAGGACTGCGTGTAGCAGCTTCAGCGTGTAGCAGCAACTGTGAGGATCACCAAGGGAGGCAGCTTCGGATGCTGAAAGGGAGACACTTCAGGCTTCTAAAAGATCACATTTTGGATCCTTCCCCCTTTTTTCTCTCCCTGATCCTTTCGGAAGAGATGACTCTCCTGACCAAAATGCAAACTTCAGTTTGCAGGGAATAGCTTGACTGCCCAGATTGTCCCTCTCTCCTGAAGGCTGGTCAGTGTGACAGTTCAAGGCACCCTGGATAGATTGTTGCAAAAATAAGGAAAATATTGTCCTAATTTGAACATGCTTAAATTCCTGTTCTCTCCCTAGATTATCTTGGACACCCCTGGCCTCACCACCGCTGCCAAAGGCAAAAGGTAGGAAGGAGTCTAGATCAGGAGTGTCCAGCCTTGGCCACATGAAGGCTTGTGGACTTCCAACTCCTAGAATTCCCCAGCCATGGAAGCCTGCAAGTCTTAAATTGCCATGGTTGGAGTCCTCTGCTCTGGACAGTGGGTCTCGTGTGTGTGTGTGTGTGTGTGTGTGTGTGTGTGTGTGTGTGAGAGAGAGAGAGAGAGAGAGAGAGAGAGAGAGAGAGAGAGAGAGAGAGAGAGAGAGAGAGAGAGAGAGAGAGAAGTATTCACTTGATGACAGAAGCTTTGCCTGTCTCCCATTTCAGACACAACCTGGAAAAGTCCATGCTGTCCGACCCATTCAACAGCTTGAACGATGCAGATTTAGGTGAGGGTTATCGGATGTCATTCCCTGGTTTCGTTCCTGTGATTAGGTGAAGGTGGCAGGGCTGCCACGTGCTTGTGCCACGAATTCCTCTGAATTTCACTTTGCACTCCCACAAGATGGATGGTTAACCCATAGTTCATTTCCTTCCTTCCTTTTCTTAAGTGCTGGTCCTCGTGGATGTTTCTGATCGCCACACCCGGCACCAGCTTCACCCACAGGTACTTCGCTGCCTGAAGCAGTTTCCGCAGGTTCCCAGCCTCCTTGTCTTGAACAAGGTGAGTTTGTTTGGCTATAACTTCGGCCTGGGGAGGGGGTATCACCTGTTGGGTCATCTCTGGGTTAGGTGGGTCTTTCATTCACCACGAGCCAAAGAGTCCTCTGGAACAGAGAACAATTCAGAGAATTTGAGAACAGTTAACCAGTGGAACAGCTTCCCTCCAGAGGTTTTGCTCCAACATTGGAGGTTTTCAGGAAGAGACTGGACAGCCATTTGTCCAATGAGCAAGGGGTTGGACTAGAAGACCCCCAAGGTCCCTTCCAACTCTGTTGTTCAGTTATTCTCAAAATATTATCACTAAATGAGCTGTTGTAAGTCAAGGGCTACCTCTAAATCTTTCTTTCCTAGAAAAAAAGAAGGTATTCTTGGAATTTTCTCTTTCCTATGTTATTGCAATGAGAAGCAAACTAATTTCACTGGTAGTCCTCAACTTAGAAGCAGTCACTTAGCGAGTGTTGAGAGTTATGACGTACCTAAAAAAGGGGACTGGGATCCCCATCTGAAGTTTGGACAGTTGCCCCCAGCCCCGTACATGACCACAATTCGAGAGCTTGGCAACACCTGTTTGCAGTATCCCAGGAACACCGGATTATATTTTAGCATGTCTTTTAGCATAAGTACAAGTAGTTTTCAACTTACGACCACAACTGAGCCCAAGGTTTCCATCGCTAAGTGAGCAAGTCATTACTAACTAACTTATCAACTGCAGTGATTCCCTTAATAGCTGTGATAAGTGTCATAAAATGGCTTAAAACTCACTTAACAAATGTCTCATTTAGCAATGGAAATTTTGGATTCCATTGTGGCCATAAATTGAGGACTACCGGTAATGCAGAAGAAGGAAGTAAATTTTAACCAAGTAAAAAATTACACTTCAGCTTAGACACACTTTTGTAACCTTCCCGTTATTAAAGAGTTACGATTTTATGTTCTGTGTTTTGTATTTTCACCTGTGTTGTGTTTTACTGAAACACGATGTGAAGGGGCCCTTAGATAAATGAATAAAGAAATAAAAAATAAAATAATCCTAACGTAATTTTTTTTAAAAGTCATAATTAAAAACAATAAATAGAAAACAAATACTGAAAGGGCGGGATCGATGGATCGCTGGGTCTTTTTTTTTTTATTATTGAACAATTTTAAAAGTTTTACAAACATTTCCCCTACCCCCTCCCTCCTCCCTCACTAACCCTCCGCTTCCCCTCCCCCCCTCCACTTCCCAGAGCAAAATACAGGGTAAAACATTTAACAAACATAAGCTAGCAAAGGCTAGTTATCTATAGCTTCCTACCCCCTTCTTGAACTTTTAACTCCCCTCTTGCTAAACTAAGTTTAAGTACTTTATAAAATCTTCTGGATCATTCATAAGCTATTTGAAATTTTTTAGTCCGATATTTGCCTTGAATATAATCAACCCATCTTCTCCATTCTAGCATGTATTTCTCATTTGAATTGTCCTTTAAGTATGCTGAAATTTTCGCCATTTCTGCTAAATTTACTACTTTTAGTGTCCATTCTTGAATAGTAGGTAAGTCTTCCTTCTTCCAGTGCTGCGCCACCAAAAGTCTCGCTGCAGTTATTAAATTCAAAATCAAATTGATCTCTATAACTGTCAATAGGGGCTGTCAATATAATAATTTTAAATTGGGGTATTTTAATTTTTGGGGTTTTAAATTGGCCAAATCTATTTAATTATTTTAATTTTTAATTATTGTTGTGTCTTGTGTTTTTAAATTGGCTGTACACCGCCCTGAGTCCTTCAGGAGAAGGGCGGTATAGAAATAAAATTATTATTATTATTATTATTATTATTATTATTATTATTATTATTATTATTATTATTATTTACTGTACAATCTGTAACTATACCTAACAAAAACAACTGTGGAGTAAACTTTATCCTTTTTTTTTAAATATTTTGAATAATCCACCATATTTTTATCCAAAATGCTTTAACTTTTTTACAAGTCCACCAAACATGAAAATAAGTAGCATCAGCACAGTCACACCTCCAACACACACCTCTGGGTCTTTTTTGAATGTCCGTTTTCTGTCTTTCCGTGACTTGCTAAAACCCCCGACTTGATTTCCCTTCCACTTTGTGGGTTCAGGTGGATCTGGTGAAGCAGAAGGGCCTTCTCTTGGAGCTGGTGGTCGAGCTGACCGAAGGCGCCTTTGGAGGAAAGAAGCTGGGAACCCGGTCTCTGTACAGGCCCCCCAAAAACCCGCCTGCGGAGCCCGTGGGGAAGGGGCCGGGCTTGGCTTCTGAGCAGGAGAACGAGACCCCGGAGGGCTCCAAGGCGCAGAAAGGCTGGGCCGGCTTCCGGGAGATCTTCATGCTGGCTGCGTTGCAGGAGGAGGAGGTGGACACCCTGAAGGCACGTGAGTGACCCCTGCCAGGAGGCCCTTGAGCCCCAGACGGCCACGGGGAAGGGGTGGAAAGGCTGGTCCCAAAGGCAACGGGGGCCTTGTTGCTTTCCTTGAAAAGCTTTCACTTCTCATCCAAGAAGTTTCTTCAGTTCTTCAGAGGGGGAGTGGGGGGAAGGGAAGGGAAGAGACAAGACAAAATAACAGCGTTGGAAGGGACCCTAGAGGTCATCTAGTTGGACCCCCTGCTGAGGCAGGAAACCCTAGACCGTTTCAGAGAAATGGTTATCCAATCTCTTCTTTAAAAACTCCAGTGTTGGAACATCCAGAACTTGTAAAAGGAAGGAAGGGAGGGAGGGAGGGAGGGAGGGAGAGAGAGAGAGAGAGAGAGAAAGAGAGAGAGAGAGAGAGAAAGAAAGAAAAAGAAAGAAAGAAAGAAAGAAAGAAAGAAAGAAAGAAAAAGAAAGAGAAAGAAGTGATAAGAATGGGAAGGAAGAAAGGAACTCTGAAGACCTGAAGAAGCTTCTCAGATGAGAAGTGAAAGGTTTTCAAACAAAAACAAAAAAACCCCAAACCCTTAAAAAGTCCGGTTGCCCTTTGGAAAAGCACCTTTGGGACAACCCTGACCTGACCAGGGGTGTCAAACTCATGTTGTCACGTGACGTATCGGGACTTTTTCCCCCTTCGCTAAACCGGGGATGGACGTGGCCGGCATGTGACACATGAGTTTGACACCCATAGCCATAGACTTCGACTGAAATGCTTCATTCCCAGCCTCCCCAGGATTAAACAGAATGGGGAGGTGGGGAGAAGAACAGCAGGAAATATTTCAGCTGAAAACTGGGTTTTCTTTTGAGTTGGGGGAAGTTGCCCAAATCGGGTAGTGGACTCAAGGCACCTGGACTTCTCTTCCTTTCTGCTTGGAAATGTTTCGCTGCTTATTCAAGTAGCTTATTCAAGTAGCTTATTCTGTATACCTAGGCCAGGAGCGTCCAACCTTGGCAGCTTTGAGGCTTGTGGATGTCAACTCCCAGAATTCCCCAGCCAGCCATGCTATGTCAGGTGGGTGGGTGGGGAATTCTGGCTTAAGAGAAAAGATTTAGGAGGAATTACTGCTCGCCTAAGGGCCCAATTCAGACTAGGTGAGCAGAGAACCCACCCTGGGGGGCTTCCCTAGCCAACTGGCTCTGTCTGAAGAAGCTACTTGGATAAGCACAAAAACATTTTAAATTAAAAAAAAAATTAAAAGAACTGCAGTGACTCACCTTGCTGACAACTCTACCTGGATGACTGAGAATCTTCATCGATACCGGTAGCCCTTGACTTACCACCTCTTGTTTAGTGACCATTCGAAGTTAACAACAGCACTGAAAAAAGCGACTTACGACTGTTTTTCACGCAACTGTAGCAGCTTCCCCGTGGTCATGTGATCAAGACACTTGGCCACTGACTCATATTTATGACGGCTGCTGTGTCCCACGGTCATGTGATCCCCTTTTGCGACCTTCCGATGAGCAAAGTCAGTGGGGAAGCAAAGATTCACTTAACAACCGTGTGACTCGCTTAAAAACTGCAATGAGTCACTTAACAACCGTGGCAGGAACGATTGTAAAACGGGGCAAAGCTCACCTAACAACTGTTCCGCCTACCAACAGAAATTCTGGGCTCAGTTGTGGGCCGTAAGTCGAGGACTACTTGTGTAGGAGAGAAGAGATGCCGAAGCCAGCAGAGGAATCCTGCAGCCCTCTGTGCAGTGGAAGCAGATGCCTCAGAACTGCTGTACAGGTAGGAATCCAGCAGGTGTGAGCCAGGATCCTTTGTGCCCACAGAAATACCTCCTCAAGCTAGCCCAGCCGGGTCCCTGGGAGTACCACAGCGAGGTCCTGACCAGCCAGTCCCCACAAGAGATCTGCGCTAACCTCATCCGGGCGAGACTCCTGGAACACCTGCCCCACGAAGTGCCCTACCTGGTGACACAGGTGAGCTTCAGCACCTTTGCCCCCCTCCTCCCTGCTTGCCCAGCGGGTTCATGGCATGGGCTCTGTCTCTTCCAGAAAACAGTCCTTTGGGAAGAGGGTCTGGCTGGGGAGCTCCAGATTGTGCAGAATTTGGAGGTCCCGAAGGAGAGATACGTGGTGAGTGTTTGGGTCTGGGGTCTCTCCTCTTGGGGCGGGGTGGTGGTGAAAATGCATTTCAATACAGTTATTTATTTATTCCATTTTCATAGCTGCCCATCTCAGTCAATGACTCTGGGCGGCTTGCAATTCCAAAAGGATGAAAACAAACAAAAAGCATTTTAAAAATAATAGAAAATGCGTCAAAAAAACCCCACAGGCAGTCCTTGACTGAAAGCCATCCGTTTAGTGACTGAAGTTACACTGGTACTGAAAAAGAGTGACTTGTGACCCTTTTTCACACTTAGTGACCGTTGCAGCATCCCCCCGGTCACGTGATCAAAATTCAAATGCTTGGCAACTGACTCGTATTTATGACGGTTGCAGGGTCCTGGGGGGGGGGCACATGATCCCCTTTTGCGACCTTCCGAAAAGCAACGTCAATGGGGGAAGCCGGATTCATTTAACAGCCATGTGACTAACCTAGCCACTGCAGTGATTCACTTAACGACTGTGGCAAGGAAGGTGGTAAAATGGGACAAAACTCACTTAAATAAGCTGAAATTTGGGGCTCAATTGTGGCCGACGGTGGAGAATTACCTGCCTACACAGCACCTGAGATAGTTAGCCAAGGAACAGGAAAACCAGGAAACGAGGCCCCTGACAGGGGTGCAGGCTTGGGAACACAACCAGGTTTTAAAAGCCTTACGAAAGGCTAACAGGATTGGGGCCTTCTAGTCTCCGAAGGGAGGGTGTTCCATGGAATGGGGGGGGGCACTGCCGAAAAGGCCCCTCTTCTAGTTCCCAACAACTGACACGCTTTGGCTGAGAGGATCTGCAGCAGGCCCCACCTGCTGGGTCGAATTGGACAGGTAGAGACTTTGAAAAAGATGATCCCTTAGGTAACCCCCGTCCCAAGCCAGGGTGTCAGACTTCGATGCTATCTCAAAATAAATGAATTTCCAAACTGCCAATCTTTAAGGAAATATTTTCTTTAATTGAGCGCAGCCACCGGATCATGACTCGATGCGGACAAGACTGACCTTTTGCCCCCCAATCCCTCCCTTTCCGATCCCCAATTCTCTGCTTCTCATTGGCTATCTTCCAAGTCATTCTCCAGACTTCTTGTGACGTCATTTCCCAGGAATGTCTCCCCCTCCTCATTTCCACGACAACCCGACTTCAAAGGGATTTAGCAGGCAAAAGTTCAGAAATTATCTCTCTCCTCTCTATGCCAGCGCTGAGGCGCTGACATCGGGAGGGTTTTCAAGGTAAACACTAGCACCTTGAATTGCGCCTAGAAACACGCTGGTAACCCTGGGGGACGGGTGCAGCCCACCTGCAGCTTGAGGAGGGGAGAGGGTGAGGGATGGAGGGAGGAATGAGGACAGAAGGAGGGATGGAGGAAGGAAGGGAGGGGACTGGAAGGGGGGAGGGAGGGAGGTGGGAGGCAGGAAGGAGAGGGAGGGAGGGAGGGAGAGTTGGGTGGGTGGGTCCTGGTAAAAGGAGTGAGGGGCTGTCTTGAAGGCTCTTCTCTGCTCCTCCTGCAGAAGATGCTGATTGGCCAGCACGGCCAGGTGATTGGCAAGATCGCCACCGAGGCCGGCTACGACTTGATGAACGCCTTCCTGTGCGAAGTGCAGCTGAAGCTCTCCGTCCAGCTGAAGGAGTGAGCCCTCCTGGCCAAGACAGATCTCTGTGGACGCGGCTCCTGCCCGGCCAGAGCGCTAACTGGACTCTGAAGCCCCCTCCCTCGTGCCAGAGATGGTGATAGAAGTGGAGCCCCCTCCTTCCCATCTCAGAGACCCCAAATGAGCGATGGGCAGATGGCCGGCAGGTCCGAGCCAATGCCGCCCTCTTGCCTCCTTGGTTGGCAGAAGAAGAAACGTGGTACCATCTTTGTCTCTTTGACTTTTGTGAGTATTGTACTCTTGCCCTGCCTGGCACAGAGGCTGGAATCCCCTGCCCTTTGGAAGCACCTCTGGCAGATGTTAGCCGCAGCTGGAATAACTTCCTCCCCTGCGTGAAGGGGTCAGCCTTGTCAGCCATTTTTCCACAGCCGAGGAATCTCTCTCAACCCCGATGGCTGCGTATGGACGGCAGGCATGTGATGGCGCATACACTGGACTCCCCCATGGCGTCTGCGTGACCCATTCCCATCCAGAGGGAAGCGTGGCAGAGAAAGCCAAGGCTGGGCATCCTGGCTGGCCCCGCTTGCCCCCGCCCTCCGTGAGTGTCCAGGCTCCGTTCCTCTGACCGGCATTGAATGGCAATAAAATGAGGCTCCCGATCAGAGAAAATGCCTTCTCCTCAGCTGGGATGGGGGCAGGAGAGACAATCCAGAAGAGGCGGTACAGGGAGTCCTCAGTTTGCAACAGTTCATTTAGTGACTCTTCAAACTTTATTTTTATTTTATTTTTAGTTTGAATTTGTATACCGCCCTTCTCCCTGAGGACTCAGGGCGGTGAACAGCCAAGTAAAAACATCAAATACAAATATTAAAATACAATTAAAAGATATATATATATAAATTTGGCCCCATTAATTAAGAACGATAACAAACTTACAGGGAAGGGAGGGGGGAGGGAGGGAGGGAGGGGAAAGGAAAAGAAAGAAGAAGGAAGGAAGGAAGGTCACCTGATACCCTTTTGCCACCTGACAGGTCAACGGGGAAGCCGGATTCGCTTAAACGATTGTGTGACTAACTCAACAACCACAGCGATTCACTTAACAGAGCGAGGTGAGAAAAGTCGTAAAATGGTGTGAAACCTGGGGCTCTCTTGTGCCCCCCTGTAGTCCTTGACTTACGACCTTAATTGAGCCCCAAATTTCTGTTGCTAAGCAAGATAGTTGAGTTTTGCTCCATTTTGCGACCTTCCCTGCCCCCCCCCACCCCCCGTTTAGTGGCAAAATAAGGGGAGTTTATAGAAAGGCCTTTCAAGCATTAAAACTGATTTCATTGGTTTTTGGGGTTTTTTTGCCCCCAGAGTTCATCTCCTTTAAAATCAAAGGGGTTGAGGGGAAACACCCTACAGAAGGACCTGTTTTCAGGCCACGCAAATGTTATCCTATAACGCCATGGGCTATTTTAAAGCCAAGATTCAGGTTGGTCCTTGAGTTACGATCACAATTGAGCCCAACATTTCTGTTGCTAAACGAGACAGTTAAGTGAGTCCTTGCCCCGTTTTTAGGACCTTTCTTGCCAGGGTTGTTGCAGTCCGGCTTCCTCATTGCCTTTGCTTGTCCGAAGGTCGCAAAGGGGGGCCAGGTGATCTTGGGACACTGCCACCGTCATAAATGCGAGTCAGTTGTGGAGCGTCGGAATATAAATCACACGGGGATGCTGCAACGGTCATAAGTGGAAAAACGTTGATAGGTTCCTTCCTTGGTGCCACTGTGGTCACTAAACGAATGGTTATAAGTAGAGGACTAGTTTCAAAGCGGCAAAGGAAGGGGATTTTGCTCTGCAGTTTTGTGCAGGATCCCTCTGGGAGGCTCAAAGGGCCAGGGGGGCAATTCAGCCCTCAGAGCCTTCCTGAGCAAATGGGGCGGAGGCTGGAGGGCAGTTTGGGGCGGGGGCCGAAAGGGAGGGGCAAGAGGGGCTCGGCCTCGGTGTCTCCGGAGCCGCCGAAGGGGAAACCGAGGCCCGGGCGGGGCTTGAGTGGCGGAAGACGTTTGAAAGCGCGGCGAGTCCGGAAATATCGGACTGCGGGCAAAAGGGACGCTTCTCTCGGTTCGAAACGAGCGGCGCTTCCGGGAGCCCGCGCGCCTGCGCAGAGGGAAGAAAAGACTATCCGGCCTCAATGAAGGAAGCGAACCCGCCTCCAAGACGGGCGATGGAGCAAGAGCGACGTCGGCGCCCATCTCCTCCTCTCCCCCCATTGGCCGCCCGGGCCTCCCTTTTTCCCCGCCTCTTCCTGCTTTTTCCTCGAGGCCGCCGGAAGTGGCGCCGCGCCGCTCTCTCTCCCTCCGCTCTGACCTTCCCCTTGAAGGGGGCCGGGCGTCGCGACGCATGCGCAGAAGGGAGCGGCCGAGCCGGCTCTGAGGGGTGACGAGGCGGCGGCGAAGAAGAAGAAGAAAAGCGGCGGCGCCATGAGGGCCGGGCGGGGGCTCCCACGGTGAGCGGGCCGGGGCGCCGGGACCCTCATCCCCCTCCCCCCGGTGGCGACTCCCCGGCTGAGGGCGGAGGCCCGCCTCCCCCCCCCCCCCCCCCCCCGGCGGCCGCGGCCGCCCCCCCCCACTGGGCCCTTCGCCCCCCCCCCCCCCACGCCTGTCCTTCGCGGGCCTCCTGGTGGAGGGGGGGGCAGTAGGCCCAGCCTTCCTTTCTCCCAGCCCCTCCCCCCGGGAGCCCCCTGGCAAAGTGGGGCAGGGGCTCTCCCCCTCCCCTTGCAAGGCCGCCTCGCCCCTCCCCCCTCGAGGGCCTTTCTGTGGGGGGGGGGAGAAGGGAGGCCTGGAGGACGAGGCAGGAAGGGCGGCCATCCAGCTGCAGCCAGGCCCTTCCTGCCCCCATTGCGGTGGGGGGGGCGCTTAGGGGGCTCTTTCTCCTCCCCCAGAGCCGCTTCCTGGGCCAGGATGAAGAAGCCCTGAGGCGGGGGGGGGGAGGGGGAGGGGGCGAAGGCTCCTGAAAGGGCTCGGTGGGTCTTTCCTGGCCCTCTTTGTGTGTGTGGGGGGGCTTTGGGGTCCAGAATGAAACGGTGATGGGGTTCCTTGATCCAGGAAAGGGGGGGAGGGGGCTTCCCAGTTGACCCAAAACTTATTGGTTTTTCTCCCCTCCTCCCCCCACTTTATGTGGCGTTTTGGGGTCTTTCCTGCCCCCATTGGGAGGTGGAGCTTGGGGGGCTCTTTCTCCTCCCCCAGAGCTGCTTCCTGGTCCTTCCTAGGGCCTGGATCCAGTGGGGCTGGGAAGGGGGGGCGAAGGGGTCCCCCGGGATTCGTTCTCAAAAGCGTCGTTCCCCTCCTGTGACGGGGAGGGGGGGGCTCTTTCCTGGCCCAGTTGGGTGGGGCTATTTCCCCCCCTTCCCAAGTGGGGATGGGGGGGGCAAGGGTCTCTTTCCTAAAACTGCTTCCTCCTCTTGGGGTTTGCAGGTCAGGACAAAACCTGGTTCCTCCCTCAGTGGGGAAGGAGGGGGGATGGGGGTCTCCCGATTCAGGATCAGGACCCCAAACTTTTCTGCACTCCTCCCACCCCAATCTGCCTTTCCTGCCCCCCCCTCCCCAAAACCAAGCCTTTGAGCCAGGGCAGGGTGTGAATTTGTGTCCCAGGGCCTCTTGGCCTGCCTCCGAGGCCTTTTCAGGGCCTGGCTGGAAAAGCCAGTTCCCCCGCCACCGTTTCCTTTCCTCGGAGCCACCTCTCCCTTCCTCCTCGGCCGACGACCGTTTCTGCTGCCGGGATCGGAGTCAAAAATTGGGCCTGCTGGAGGCGAGACTCAGTGGTGCTCAGGCCCTCCCCGTAAGACTGCAGGCAGTCCTTGACTTAAGACCAGGAACTGAGCCCAACATTCCCGTTGCTAAATGAGACGTTTGTTCAGTGACCCATTTTACGATCTTTCTTGACACCATTGTTAAGATAAAATTACGCAGAGGGGACACTGTGAGTCAATTGTCAAGTATCTGAATATAAATCAGGTGACCATGGGAATGCTGCAATGGTCATAAGTGTGAAAAACGGTCATAAGTCACTTTTTTCAACTTTGATTTTGAACAGTCACTAAACGAATTATTGTGAGTTGAGGGCTACCTGTATATGGAGGCTGCCTCTGGGCCAAGGGGCTCTTCTCTCTTCAGGATGATCTGCCGCTGGAGAAGGGGGGCCTTCCCCTCGGGACCCTCCCCAGGGGAGGGGCTGGGAGCCCAGAGGGCAGGAACTGTGCCAGACCTGGGCCTCTCCTAGCGAAGCACACAGACCCATTCTCACTACCAGGAATGATTCCCCCACCCCCCAAATCTGTACTTTTATTTTATTAATTTTATTTTTGGACGCCTTCAAGTCAGTATTGATTGCTGATAACTGCCTGAAGTCCTCTTCCCTGCTGGATTCTTTTAAGATTTGGGAGGCTGGGATTTGCCACCAAGAGGTGAAAGACTGGGGCAGGTTGTCAGAGGAGGAACATCATATGCCATTAAATCCTGGATAATTGTTGCAAGAGAGGAGTAGGAATGGATGAGTCACCTGATCTCCAGCTTTTCTTAAATCAGCAATAGCGGGAGGTGAAATGGAGGATCCTGGCTTGCATAGGGTCACGTCAACCGTGGATTCCTCTCTTAACTGAGTTGGCTGCATTGCTATCCGGCTTCCAAGTTGAAGAACCCATGAAGTCAAGACCGGCCTGGGCCATCCTTAGGGGAGAAAAGGTGGTGGCAACTAGAACCTCTGTGTGCAAAGTCCAGGTTTTTTATTTCATGGCTGCCTAAAATAGACAGAATGGCAGAGTCAGAAGGGACCTTGGAGGTCTTCTAGTCCAACCACTGCTCAAGCAGGAGACCCTATACAGGCAGTACGTGACTTACAGCCACAATTGAGCCCAAAAGTTCTGTCACTAAGCAAAACATTTGATAAGTCAGTTTTGCCACATTTTACAACATTTCTTGCCACAGTTGTTAAGTGAACTACTGAAGTTGTTAAGTTAGTCACACGGTTGTTAAGTGAATCTGCCTTCCCCATTGACTGCTGGTCAGAAGGTCGCAAAAGGGAACCAGATGACCTCGGGACACTGCGACCGTCATAAATATGAAACATTTGTCAAGCATCTGAATTTTGATCACATGACCATAGGGCTGCAATGGTCTTTAAGTGTGAAAAATGGTCATGAGTCACTCAGTGCTGTTGTAACTTTGGCAGTCACTAAGTGAACTGTTGTAACTCAAAGACTACCTGTACCATTTCAAACAAATTGTCCAAACTCTTCTTAAGAACCTCCAGTGATGAAGCACCCACAACTTCTGGTGGCAAGCTGTTCCACTGGTTAATTGTTCTCAGTGTCAGGAAATTTCTTCTTCATTCTCGGTTGCTTCTCTCCTTGATGAGTTTCCATCCGTTGCTTCTTGCCCTGCCTTCAGGTGCTTGGGAGAATAGGTGGACCCCCTCCTCTTCTTTGGGCAGCCCCTGAGATATTGGTATTGGAGTAACAGAGTTGGAAGGACCTTCTAGTCCAATACTCTGCTCAAACAGGAGACCGTAGACCATTCCAGACAAGTGGCTGTCCGGTCTCGTTTTAAAAACGTCCAATATTGGAGCACCCACAACTTCTAGTGGCAAGCTGTTCCACTGATTAATTCTTCTCGCTGTCAGGAAGTTTCTCCTTACGTTGCTTCTCTCCTTGATTAGTTTCCATCCGTTGCTTCTTGTCCTGCCTGCGGAGAATACTTTGCCTCCCCCCCCCCCTTCTCTCTGATAGCCCCTCCGATATTGGAAGATGCCATCATGTCACCCCTGGTCCCTCTTGTCATTATAAGAAGGCTGATTTCCGAGGGGCTTGTTTTTCCCCCCCCCCCCCTCTCTCTCTCTCTCTCCGGCAGCTTCATGCACCTTCCG